TCCATGCCGGATCAGCAGAGATGGGGACCCCCGGGTTTCCTCCATGCAAGGACAGCGGGGATGGGGACCCCCGTGTTCCCTGTATCCATCCATGCCCGGGGCAGCGGGGTGGGAATGCCGGGGCTCACTCCGTCCTGGGGACCCCCGGGCTTGTCTATTCCTCGTCTCCCCCTGACCCCTCCCGAGGTTGCGGGTCTGGGGTTTTTCCGGGCTCGCTCCATCCCCGTGGATGCGGGGATAGGGTTATCCCCGGCTCCCTCCATCCGTGGGGCAGCGGTTTGGGGATTCTCCCGGATTTGGGATTCCCCCTCTATCCGCGGGGCTGGAAGCACCAGGCTCCCTCCATCCGTGGGGCAGCGGTGCTGGGATTCCCCCGGGCTTCCATGACTGAGAGTCCAGGGCTGGGATCTCCCCTCATCCCCGCGCTCGGGCCGCTGCAGCTCCCGCAGCTTTTTCACCCAAAATGCGACGGATGCTGATTGCGGGATAAGAGCGGGAGCGCTCCCGGCTGGCTCTGTGCTCCGGCTCCCCTCACCCCGTGGGCAGCTGTCCCTCCCTCAGGGGTCCCTCTCTGGGCTGGGATCATCCCCGGGATGTTTTCCTGCCGTTCCCGGTGCCAGCAGCGCACCTGGCCGTGCCGGTGCCGTGCCCGGTGCCGGGGCTCGGGCGGGCTCGGGGGCTCCCGCCGCTGCTGAAGTGCTGGATAGCTACTGCTGCTGACCGCTGCCTTCTGCTGCTTCCCCAGGAGATGATAGAGAGCGATATCCCGTCCATAATGTCAGGAATCATTAGGAATTCAGGGCAAAACCACCACCCCTCGCAGGAGTACAGGTGAGGTTTGATCCGTCTCAGAAACGTGCACTGCACTGCCAACTCCTGCTGCCGCCTCCTTGCTTCCTAAAAAATCCTTTTAGCATGTAGAAATCCACTTTTCTTCTTCTTCTTTATTTTTTTTAAAGCTATCTGAGTTATTTCTCCACTCTAAATGAGATTTGTAAGGCTGATGACCAGTTACAATGCATTCCTTATTCAGAAACATTCCTGCTTAAAGTATTCACATTTGGATGAAGGCTGGACTTGGTAATATTGGAGGTCTTTTACATCCATAATCATTCTGTGATTCTCTGATTTTGATACTAACCTATATTTGATAAATACACCTCCAAAACCTTGGGCGGACCTCTCTCTAAATTCTCTGTCCTGTGTGAGCGCTGCCAGAGAAGGAGATTCTTGTTAAAATATAATAATTTAAAAGTTCCCTCGCAGATCACTTTTTGCATTGTTGTGGAGCAGTCATGGAGAGACTGAACAAGAGACACTGGAGGAGTTTTTAATTAAAACAAGCACTTGTGTAGCCCTCCAAAGCACTGACAACCTGTCAAAGGGCTTTTAATATGGGTGGGAACAAACCTGGCTCTGCCAAAGAGCCTTTCATAATTTAATTTACCTGCACCGCCGTGCTTCCATTTATCATTTCAAAGCATTGTTGGAGGTTGCAGGAGGGTTCTGCATGAGTTACAGAGCCCTGGGTTATGTTAGGTTACATTTTGTCACATGATGCAAAGCTCCAACAAATACAGAACACACACTACACGTCCCACTTCTCACAACAAAACAGAAAAGCAAACCAGAAGAAAATTAAAATTTTTTTTTAATATATATATATAAAATGAGTATTGAGAGACTCCTTCCTCCCAGCCTGAGGGGTTTCAACCTTTCCTGGGGCTGCTGCAGGTATTCTTCTCCTGGCCTCTCTCTATTCAAAATGCAAAGGCTGCAGCTCAGGCTCTTGCAGCTCAGCGAGGGATTTGTTTCAGTCCCTGCAGCCTCTGGGGAAAAGGTTTGTGCCTCTGCCTTCGCTCTGTGCCCAGGCGCTGTTTGCTCGGGGCATTTTTCTTGGCTGCGTAAATATTGGTGAAGAAATTATTGGGGATTTGAGGAAGGGTGTGGGTGAGAGGGACTTCTGGGGACGTGGATTTAAGGCTGGATCTTCAGCGCCCTGCAGAATTCACCGCCTTAACAAAGCCCCTTTTTTAGGGAGAGAACTGTTCTTTAACTCAGAGCTGCAGGGGAAAAAATTGGTTTTTGGGGGGCAAAGATAGGATTTATCTTATTTCAGTAAAAAAATCATAACTTTCTTATTTTCTCCTTTTAAAAACCAGCTTTGGGTCCTCTGTGAAACATTTTGTGCTCAGTTCTCTGAAGTTTTTCACCCACTTGTGATTTTTTTTTTTTTTACCACGGCTTTAAAACAAATTATTTGACCTCGTTTAATAGTGGCAAATTCTGATAAAAATGCATAAAATCTGAACTGCACCATAAATGCAGAGCAGTATTTGTCCTACTTCATGAGAAAACACTTTGGATTATGTAAAAGAAAATCTTTTAGACTGAATGATTTTAAGAAAAGAATAGACCTGTCAAATTCTATCAGCTCTGTTTACTCTCCTGCTGTCACCACAGTCCAAGACTGGAACCCACAGTCCTGAGTTCTCCATGGGGGAGCATCAAGGCTCCACAAAATGGGGAATGGCCTCCAATTAGCGAGTGGGAGGCTGGGGCTGTGCTGAGAATACTCTTCTGTCTCATTTGGAATCTTTCAATGGGACAGTTGGACTTGGAGGAGCCCCGGCTCCGCTGGGAGGGAGGGGATCAAACCCCCAGACACCCATCAGTCTGCAGGCAGATTGTGCTTACAGCTGGAAAACTTGGGATTTTATAATTATTTTAATTTTTTTTTGCATTTTTTTGTGTGAAAGGAATGTGGCAAAAATCTGATTTTAACAGATCTTTGAATTGTGCGGCTCCAAAGCCTCTGCAGTGAATTTGCTGTGGCTCGGGGTGGTGATGAAATTTTGGCCGCAGGACTTTCTGCACCCCAGTAAAAAGATTTTAGGCAAACATCTCTCCCAGCAGTGCAGCTCTGGGATATTAAACAGCACAGGGATGATTAAAGGCCATCAGATCCATCAGATCTCCTCCACTGCCTGTTTTTATGGTGCTGTCACTGCCTGGCTGCAATGCAAAATAATTGTTTATTTTAGCAGCTGCCTCTCTCAGTTTCCTACAGAAAATACCACCATATTCAATATATTTACCCTTGTAGGGCTGACAAATATTTCTAATAATTCCCTACTGCATTTAAGGGAATGAAAATAGAGAGTTGTAACACACCGAGATTTTTAACCCTTAGCACTTCATCTTTGTTAATCATAATTAATAATTTAACATTTTTTAGTGCCACTATTTTGATTTTAAATCACAGCACAGGCAGACCACGAGTTTTCTATACAGTGGTGGCTCGTGGTAGCTCCAGCACAGACCTGTACAAATTATAGGAGCCAGCTCCAGGCTTTTCCCATGGAATTTATGGGCTGATTCCTGGGAATCCAGGTTCTTCAGCTCCTGGGTGCTGCAGCCTTCAAGCAATATTTTGAATTGAAATATGGAATCTGTCATTTTGATTTTAAGATCTGATTCAACAATATTTGGTGTAAGGACCACATTTCTATTTTTTTGTTTTATTATGTATTTCCAGTTGACAGAAGCCTTGTGGAGAGTTTTGAAGGCGTTGCAATGCATTTTCTATATGTTAAATGGGAATTAAGCTTTAAATTTTTGATCAAAAGGTGTTAATCATTAATAATTCAATATATTAGTAGATTATATAGTCCTTTACCCCATTTTAATTATCTCTTTGATTCTTAAAAAATTGTCTATATTCAGTAGCTCATTAATCTGATCAATTTGTTCCTTAATTACTTTATGTTGCCATAGTATAGTGTAAAATCAGATTAAGAAGGACAGGACTGCTGTACTCCATAAATTCCAGATGTGACAGCATTCCAGTGTGGGAAAAGATGACAAATCTCTAATTTGGAGCACATTTGTTGTGTTCCCATATCTGGGATTTTTTTTGCACTGGGGTTTCTGGAGAGGAAGTGACGCCTCTGTCCCCTGGGATGGATGGATGGATGGATGGATGGATGGATGGATGGATGGATGGATGGATGGATGGATGGATGGATGGGAGTGTGCACACAAAAAGGTTACAAATGCATCACTAACAACACCCTAATTGTTCCTGGAGAAAATGCCAGTGTCCATTCCTGTGACAGGCACTGAGATAATGACTCCCAGTGCCCCAGGAATTCCAGCACGGGAGTGGCTTCATTCTTTTACCCCCCCCCCCAAAAAAAAAAAAAAAAAAAAAGAGTGAGAAACCTCCAAGGAATCAGTCAAACTGGATTGATTTAAGTGGATTAGCACAACTGTTTCCTCAGCACTCCTGAAATGTGCTGATCTGGAGGAATAAAATTTGTGGCCTTTTGCTTCTCCCGGGGCTGGTTTGGGGCAGCACCTTGGGGTCCTGTGAGAGCAGAAAGAGCTCATCCCTCACCTCAGAAAGGCCAAAACAGGGAAAGAGAAAGGGAATTGGGATTTTTCCAGCATTCCTGAGGGATCCCAGAGGCTCATGTGCAGGAAGAGGAGCTGCTGCAGGCCCAGAGACTGAGGGGTTCTGAGGGCCCTGCCCAGGGACAGGTTGGAGAGCTGATATCCATCCCCTCCACACTGCTCTGACACCCACACAAGGCTCCAGTGCTAAAGAACAGCAATTCCCTAGGAAAAAATATCTTCCCAGTCTGACCATGGTCCTGGTTTTAATATAAAACATTCCTGTGGTGCCTGGAGCTTCAGCAGGTTTTGCTTGTTCTGTCTTTGGTCAAAAGGCTGATTTTTGAGTTGTTTGGTTTGGGATTTTTTTACCAAACAGGTTCCAGAGTCAGATCCCAGCTGTATTTGGTAAATCCCAGCCTAGGGATGGTTAGGGCAGAGCAGGGGATGAGTGGCTGGGGCTGCCATCACCTCTCATTTCTTCTTGTGTTTAAGCATTACACATTTCACTGTAATTCGATTTCCACTGATCCCACAGCAAACTGGTGTAATGGGGGCTGTGAAATGGGAGCTGGGATGGATAAAAGGCTCCAGGAGTGCAGCTGTAGCCCGTTCTTAGTGCCAAACACCTTTGCAGGTGATTTTCAGAGAGTCCAGCATGGTGCAAGGAAAGGGGACCATCACCACCTACCAGGTTAATGATGATATTTAATTTTTCCTGACTAGTTTTTGTTCTCATAACACAATGTTTCTTGAGTTATAGATAAGGAGGGACCCTCTTAAAGTTTAATTTCTATTCTGATTTCCAGCAAGGCCAGAAATAATCCAGAAATCTTGAAGACAGAGAGAGGGATGGGATGATGGTGTGGGACTGGGTGTGTGTGTGCCTTCAGGGAGGAATCACAGACCAAAAACTCTGGGAGCTGCTGGTAAAGCTGGGGCAGAATCAAGTTGGAAGGGGCAGCTGGTTGTGAGTGTGGAAACCAGAAAATAGTGGGAGGAAAAGCACCTGGGAGGCAGGAAAATAGGAGAGGAAGGGCATAAAGGGAAGGAGCAAGTGGAATGGGGAGATGAAGGAGATGGGAAGTTGAATCCCTCAGTAAAACAGAGGACACTTCTCACCCTGGACACAGCTGGAGAGTCACAATCCAAGTATTTTCCTTGTCTTGCACATAAGAACTCTCTGTGCTTGCCCTGAGGATTTTTTGTAATCCCAGACAAAGGAAAACTACAATTCTAGAAGAGGTTTGCTGTGGACTCTTCCTGTCCAGTTGTCTCTGACTGGATAAAACATTGCAAACAGTTAATTAACAACTCATCACCCAATTGCTCCTGCCTGTTGAGCAGTTGTGTCACCTAAGCCTGGGATAAAAGCTCAGGTGGCAGTGCTGAAAATGGGAAAAGACTCTGTCCACTGAGTGAGACTTAAAACCCTGGAATATCCCAAATGCAGCTGTGGGGTTTTGGCCTGGCTCTGTTTCAGGTGGAGGTGATGAGTTTTTGAGGGGATCCTTGCAGTCTCCAGGCATGAGCTCACCATCCCATGCAATGTGGAGGTGGGTAATTGATGGATAATTCCCCTGGCAGTGTTTCCCAGGGTAAGGAACCACCTTGAGCTCAGCCTGAGGGAAGGTGGCAAAGCCCCACTGGTGAGCTCAGGCTCAGATCCAGCTCTGGTGTTAAACTCCTGCAAGGCCAGGCCAGGAATGACCCCAATTCCACCCTGTGCCAGCAGGATGCCCTTGATGGTGGGGGGAAAAGGTGAAAATAACCTTTAGGTAGCTGTGAGTGAGGATTTTGTGCTGCTGGCAAGCTCTGGTGAACTTTGCCATGAACAGATCTGGAAAGAGGTCTCATTCCAAGGTGTTCCTGATAGGAATAAATATTTTGGGCAGATAACTGCAGAGCAGATTGTAAGGACTGACAGTGCCATAGAGCATTTCTGTATCACACCCAGTTTTCCAGGCACTTTTCCCAGGATCATCATCCTGGGATACACAGGAGAACTGGGCTCTAAACCCTCAGCACCCTCTGGGTTCTGATCCTTGCAGGAGAGAGACAGAAGCATGGGATGTTTTACTGCAGAGGGGTAAAAGTGGAGTTGCATCATTTCACCACGCTCTGAAGAAACACCCCCACGTTTGCCACCCCTCTGGTGGGGCTGCAGCCTCCCCTTGCTGGGGTTCTGCTCCAGGAGCCCTGGGAATGAGCAGGGGAGGCTCAGCAGTGCATTAATTACAGCCTATCACTATTTATCTCATTTACATGCGCTGAAAGGCTGCTTTTACCACAGTGCCCCATTGTGCCAGGGGCTGTGAACACCCAGCCAAAGGCAGGAGCTCTGACTCCTGGAGTTTGTCCTGGAATTTACCCTCCTGGATTTATCCTCCTGGAGTTTATCCTCCAAAGTGAGATGAGCAGGGTGGTGGTGGGGAACTGAATCCAATCCCACCTGGTATTCCAATTTATGGATCTGTAGCTGGCAATTTTGAGGTCAGGAAGATTGAAGCCCAGGAGATGACAGTGTTGGTTATTCCTGTGCTTGGCTCTCTCTTATTTTTTGCTAAATTATAATAAGTTAATAAGTTAATAAGTTAATAAGTTAAATTAGAATTTCTTCACTGGAAGCAGGGCACACATTGAGCCTGTGGCCTGGGAGATGTGCTGGGTTTATGCTACAGAACATCCCCAGACTTTTAAAACTCCTCAGCCAGGCAGCAATGGGAATTCTTTAAAATTTCACATTCTTTAAGACATGAGAGATCTCAGCATTGGTTTTGCAGACAGCCTGAAGAATAATCCTTAAACTTGAAATCATGGAATCATAGAATTATCAAATAATGGAATTACAGAATCATCAAATCATGGAATCACAGAATGGTTTGGGTTGGAAGGGACCTTAAACATCTTGCTTCAACCCTGTGCCATGGGCAGGGGTGTAATTCTGATTGAATTTGCTTTATCCTTCATTTTTAACAGGATGGTAATCTGATAAGCAGCAAATCTATTTTTTTAAAAAAGCGTAGTGAACAGGCTGAGGTGGTTTTAAAAGAATTACTGTAAACTCAAATTGAAACTGTGAA